TATCTAACGCTGATTTCGTTTATTTCAATTTTTATTTTAATTAAATGTATGGCATCCCTTAAACATAGTCTATTATATATATAACTGTATAAAAATTAATTTTAATGAACAGTAATTTTTAAATCTGATAAGAATTTTACTTTTTCGTGTCTACTTAATACAAAGTGACTGTAAATGATAGTGACAAAAAAATCTATTGGCAATGCTGAATTATTGATTAGTAATCTTTTAAGTCTGTGATATCAGATTGTGTTAGGTGACGGATATGTCAGCGACTGTCTTTCAAAAACGAATGACAATTGACTATAAAATTGTGACATTTAGATTCGGTTACCAACTTGCCGACAAAAATCCCAGTCACTGACAGTCACTTGTTAGTTATCTTAATTACTAACGCTGGTATCTATTTATTTCAATTTTTTGATTCTATTTTATTTATTTCTAGTTATTTACCTTTACTTATACCGGGTGACTATAAATGTGCCAAAATTTTCTATTGGCCACACTATTGGTAATCTTTCTAATTTGTTATGTCAAGATGTTTCGGGTGACTTTTAAGCCAATGGCCGCCTGTCACAAATGAATGACAATTGCCTTCAAAAGTTTGTCGTTTGACAGTCAAGGTTGCCAGGTTGACGTCAACTTGAATTTAAAAATAGCAATAATCATTAAATTACAGTATGAATATTTTGATTAATTTGACGTTTAACAATTCTAATTTTTATTTTTGATTTAAATTTTTTATTTGTGTTTTATAAATTATTATGAATTTAATTGTATAATTAAATAATTATTTATTATGAGAACAACTTCAAAATTTGACAAAAGTAAGTTGAATTTGTATTTCATTTAAAATAAAATTTTTGGTTAATTAAGTTTGTAACACTGAATAAAATAAAGATAGAAAATTTGAAATTTGTCACATCTATCCACATTTTTCAAGATTGCCAACTTAGTTTCAAGTGAAGGCGAGACGATTTGTATAATAAATTTAATTGGGCGAATAAAATGGCCGACGTGTTCTAGTTTATAACCTCATTTTTTTCAGGTGGCGACCTCTTTGACGCCATCACCGTTGCTCAAAAATTCTCCGAAGAACAAGCCGCTCTCATGATAAATCATCTAGTATCCGCTCTGTCGTATTTACATAATTTGAATATTGTGCACCGAGATGTCAAACCCGAGAATTTGCTCGTGGAATTCGACGGCGAAAATCGCATAAGATTATTGAAATTGGGCGATTTTGGGTTGGCTTGCGAGGTGACAAGACCACTATTTACCGTTTGTGGCACTCCCACCTACGTCGCGCCTGAAATACTAGCAGAGTCGGGTTATGGCTTAAAGGTAGTAGAAAAAATTGTGCGATGCGACTCGAGCGAAAGTGTTGTGTTGTAGATTGATGTGTGGGCCGCCGGAGTGATCCTCTACATCCTCCTTTGCGGATATCCGCCGTTTGTGAGTCAAGATAACGACCAAGAAAGACTTTTCGATTGTATTCTTTCGGGCCAATATGATTTTCCGGATGAGTATTGGAAAGACGTGTCAGGATTGGCTAAGGAGCTCATTCAAAATATGCTACAACTAGCGCCAGAGTTGCGATTTTCGGCCGAAGATGTCTTGGACCATCCCTGGTTGAGTATAGGAAACGAAGAATAATTCATGTACAAATTTATTTTAACAAATCCATCCTTTCACATATACCGATTTTTTGCACGGTTGCAGTCCTTGTTCAAGTTGTTTTAACGCATATCATGCATTTTTTATTAACCAAAATTTTTCTAGTGTGATTACGAAAAGCATCTTTTAAAAAGGCTTGAAATAAATCGTTTATACCAAAGGTCGTTTGATTTTCATTTTTGTCATATTTACAAGGTTTTGTTATTGTTCCTAACCATTTATTCATCTTAGGAAATAGAAGCCATTATTTATATTTATTTTTGTTTATTTATTAGGCAATGTAGTAAAGTGGAAACAGTTTTGTACATTTTTAAATTTATTGTCAAATTTTATATTATGCAATTTATTAACACGTGCTGAAGTATTATTTATTGATAATTTAAGTTTACAGTACTGTAGGGTACAGAGTAAAATAAGCATTTAGTTTAAACAAGTGTATACTTTTTGTAGAAGATTATATTTTGATGTAAATAAATATTTGAGTAGTAAAAATAAGTGTTTATAACCTTTGAGTTTTAAAAAACATTCTCCCAGTTATCCGAACACAGTGCGCACCACCAAAATATCCCTTGCTCCTTTTGATGAAGTAAAAAATAAATAAAACGAAAAATTTTGACACTTCTGAAATGTCTTGACAGTTGGGTCACGTGACCACTGTGTTGTCCTTGTCACACCTGAATTCATATTCTACAGGGTGATTCAAATTTAATTCGGTAAAAACCATCCATGTAAGCATTTAGGTACAGGCCCCGGCGTCCTAAACTCCGCCCTTGCCACTTCTGTAAAACTTTCCGCATCCAAAATAATCAAGCCGACATGATTTGTATCTTTTCCGCCCCACACCATGGCCGCGAGTACCACCCCATCATCCTCAAACCGACAATTGGGCCGTGGTACAAAAATGGGTTCGCTGGGATAACAGTTATGTTCACACCAAGTTTTAGATGTTTTTGTCACAGTATCAACTTTAATAATAGTTCCCGGATTCGCCGCATCGACATCAGCGCTTATAGCGTAAAAATATCGATACTGCTTTCCTAAATATTGCTCGTAGTTAATTCTCGGGGTTTCACAGCCCAGATCTGACAATTTTTCCGGTATTATGATTATTTCGCCGTCAGGTTGGTAGTAGGCTTCGCAATTTGTGTCTGACAGTTGGATGAGATTCGAATTTGTTTCGGCCGGTTTTAGGGGAAGTACGAAACGGAGAGGTTTTGATCGGAACATTTCGGCATAGTTCGGATTATGTTGCATATTCTGGAAATTAGTATCAGGAATACCAACTTAAATAAATGCAACATGACACTCACCTTCATTACACTAGTGTACATACAGTCCAGCATTTCAGGATTGCGGTACGTGCAAATGTCAACAATCACGTGATCGTAAGTTTCGTATTGGTTGATTATGTGTAAGTAAAAGAAAGCTTCTGAGTGAAATTTGTAAGCCAGTTGGCCGGTTTTGCGACTAATTAAGCTAAATTGTGTCTAAAACAATTAATTCATTTAAAATATTTAGGGGAAGTTAGGTGTTACTTTTTCATGTTGGTACCAGCGGAAACTACTCGCCATTGGCTCATTTTTAATCTTATTCATTATCATACCACCCACAGAGACACTTAGAGGTTGCTCAACAATAACAAAATAATTTTCAGTTAGGCCTGCAACAGTTTTGGTGAAAAAATCTCTCAAATTTAGTTAATTTTTTACCAAAAGTGTGCATATATGTGGGGTGTAGCGGCCATCTTGCGGGGATTCCTGCAAAAATTTCAGCACCTTCAAACATATTTTTTCCTGAGGGAAATTTGACAATTGTGTGATAAGGACCAGACGGGTAAATTGTCAATCCCAAATTAAATACAGTTCCTGTAAAATTAAACCTAACAACACGAAAATCCCTAAAATAAACAAACCATCTTTCATGACATGCGGATGTGACGTATGATGGACAATTGAAACAAACTTGCTAACGTCTATTCTGTCTTTTGTTTCCAAAGTGCCTTGATCAATTTTATGAATAATCGGGATTTCCCCGAAAGCAAACATTTCGTCTCCGAATGGATAAACCGAAATCATTGAATTATCCGAAATGTCGTCCGAATTTGGAGAAAAAATTGAAGCAACCCTGAAAAAATTAATACTTGGGTGTTCAAAACTCGATTTGGTACCTTTGGAAGATGGTTCGGCACGGGTCAGGTACCGCTTTGGTACCAAATTCCGTCAAAACAATCCGATTGGCTGCCCGGTTCCGTTTTAACACTTCTGATTGGAGGAAACGGCACTGATAGGTAACCCTGCCTTCATTGATGGAAAACCTAGCAACCGGAATAAATAAGCTGTTCAATATTTGGTTAACATTACCGATGAAGTAGAGCCGAGCTGTCAAAAAGATGGCCGAAATAATCATTGCCAACTTTGATCGAACCGGGACCATTGCGTAGAAGACAACCCCGGAGCCAAGTTGGAATGGTACCAGTGATGGTACCTGTGATCGGTTCCGAGATTTCTTCGGTGCAGGATCGTAACCACACATTAACGTCACAGTTGGGGTAGAAGCCGCCCTAAAATAAAATTTTCATTTTGAAAAATTGCAACCAGTTGATTCAAACTTATATTCTTAATCACAGGATAAAACTTACTTTTTGGTTCGGAGTCTCTGATGCCATTGCTTCAACTGGAGTTGGATATATTTTAGTTGGGCACTCCTATGGAGTCTTATTTAATTAGGAATATAGTATCAAGGATAAGCTTTATTGATTTTCTTACAAATTGATTGAAATAGCTGCATCAGAAAGTTTGTGAGCAATTTCAATTAAATCCATTCGGCAGTAGTTACACTAGTTTTTTTATGAACTGTTTATGCCGTAATGTTTAAAACTTTATTTGTGTTTTCACGTTTTTTTCGTGTCTATTTAATACCAAGTGACTGTAAATGATTGTGACAAAAAAATCTATTGGCAATACTGAATTATTGATTAGTAATCTTTTAAGTCTGTGATATCAGATTGTGTCAGGTGACGGATATGTTAGCGACTGCCTCTCAAAAACGAATGACAATTGACTATAAAATTGTGACATTTAAATTTGATTACCAACCTGCCGACAAAAATCCCAGTCACTTGTTAGTTATCTTAATTATTAACGCTGGTATATATTTATTTCAATTTTTTAATTCTATTTGATTTATTTCTAGTTATTTACCTTTACTACTTATACCGGGTGACTATAAATGTGTCAAAAATTTCTATTGGCCACACTGAACTATTGGTGATCCTTCTAATTTGTTATGTCAAGATGTTTCGGGTGACTTCTAAGGCAACGGCCGCCCGTCACAAATGAATGACAATTGCCTACAAAAGTTTATCGTTTGACAGTCAAGGTTGCCAGGTTGACGTCAACTTGAATATAAAAATGGCAATAATCATTAAATTACAGTAAAGTCTGTTTTTTTTTTTAAATGGAAATTACCAAGTCAAAATTTTGGTGTAAAAATTGGTAGCAGCTTGTCTCCATAGCCACAAATTTTGCTTTTTGTTTTTGTCCCTAGAAATTTTGTTAAAAAATTATGGTTATGTGTTCAAATTGAGATGTTGTCAAAATTTTGACTTTTATGAATCTTGTGTGCCTGTTTGCGCTTTGAAAGCGCTATAATTGAATACCTGAGGACAGACATCATTACCTAAGGTCTAAAGACAGAATTCAGTGCTAATAATTTTGATAGAAACACACCGCTAGTAAGTACAATGTTGTGGACAAAAATGAGGTTCTTGCTACAAAAACTTTAAAGAAAAAGGATGTTTATACGGAAAAAAGTTATTTAGCAAAAGATACAAGGTAGGTATTGTGATGATTGGCAATAAATTTTGTGTAATTTATTGAAATTAGTTCAAAGTTGATTCTTCTTCAGGTTTAGTTTAAAAATTGTTACTTTTTCAACTCGTTCCACAAAAACCATGCACAAGATACTAATACTAATTTAATTGCGTTCTTTCAGAGGTTCTTTCTCATTCATGTTTATTTTGTATTCTTGTCAATTTTTTGCTAAAAATTGAGAATGTTTAGCAAACCTGCAACACAAATTGCGTCTACATTTTAACGGGCCCTTTTTCTAACTTCCTGCTTGCGAACTATTCGTTTCCAAATTTCGAAAAACTGTTAGTGTACCGAATTTGTTTCTTTTTTGGTGTTTCGTCTCTAAATTTTCTTAGACGATTTTTTGTGTTGACGTTTAATGACATTATTTTCAATTAATTCAAAAAACCGGAACTGCCAACTTCCTTTATTAAAATTACCATGAATGAATTTACTAGTGATGCCAACGTTAAGACTGTTTGGCATTTCCATTAATAAAAAAAAACAAACTATGAATATTTTGATTAATTTGACGTTTAACAATTCTAATTTTATTTTTAATTTAAATTTTTTATTCACGTTTTATAAATTATTATGAATTTAATTACAAAATTAAATAATTATTTATTATGAGAACAACTTCAAAATTTGAAAAAAGTAAGTTGAATTTGTACTTCATTTAAAATAAAATTTTTGGTCAAGGGGGGCTATGATTCTTAAATTAAGTTTGTAACACTGAATAAAATAGATATAGAAAATTTGAAATTTGTCACATCTGACAAGATTGCCAACTTAGTTTCAAGTGAAGGCGACTTTGATAATAAATTTAGTTTGCCGAGTAAATATGGCCGACGTGTTCTAGTTTATAACCTCATTTTTTTCAGGTGGCGACCTCTTTGACGCCATCACCGTTGCTCAAAAATTCTCCGAAGAAAAAGCCGCTCTCATGATAAATCATCTAGTATCCGCTTTGGCGTATTTACATAATTTGAATATTGTGCATCGAGATGTCAAACCCGAGAATTTGCTCGTGGAATTCGACGGCGAAAATCATTTTGAAAAATTGCAACCAGTTGATTGAAACTTGTATTCTTAATCACAGGATAAAACTTACTTTTTCGTTCGGAGTCTATGATGTCATTGCTTCAACTGGAGTTGGATATACTAGTTGGGCGTATGGGAGTCTTATTTAATTAGGAATATAGTATCAAGGATAAGCTTTATTGATTTTCTTACAAATTGATTGAAATAGTTGCATCAGAAAGTTTGTGAGCAATTTGAATTAAATCAATTCGGTAGTAGTTACACTAGTTTTTTTTTAATGAACTGTTTAAACTGGCCGTAATGTTGAAAACTTTATTTGTGTTTTCACGTTTTATATTTTTAACAAAAATAAATTTAATTACCAAAATATAGGGTGGTTTTGAATTGATGTCTAAATTTAACTTAATATTTTTTACAAAGTTGCTACCTGTGTCAATGAATAGTAAATGTCAAATAATGTTAATTAGTGTGAATAAATGGTAGGTACAGATTTGTCAACAAGATATTACCACCTAGGATTTGAACTTTTAGGAAAATTACGTTTTTCATGTTGTTTGTAACTAAAATTTTTAGAAGTAATTTTAAATTCCCAGGGTTGGTTACCCCTTGTTGTTGACGGGTGACGTTTTCTGTCAACCTGTTATCAACTATCAATTAAATCATCCGTACAAGATGACAGGTGACATAACCTAAATTTTGACACTAGTTACGATATCTTTTGTTTGTCACCAGAAACCAACCTAACCAAATTTATGGCAATCAATTCACGAAAATCCTTAAATCCTAGGCAGTAATTTCTTGTTGATACGACAGTAGGTACGTTCGATTTAATTTTTTGTTTTAAGTTGGGAAGGCTGAAAATTAGCATTTTTTTAATTTAGAAGTACAGCAGGCTACTTTGACCAGGCATTTAATTCAATGCAAATGAGTACTTTAATAGACTCGGAACACTTGTTTTTGCAAAGTTGGTATCGGTATTTCTAGTACACCCGGGGAAAAAACTATTCACCAGTCTAACTTGGCGCTCACGCTGCGCTTTGTTGCAATAGTGTTTCAAACTAACTAGTTGAGGAGCATGATGCTGAAAAACCCTTATTTAGGAAGTTGGTCTGGACTGGAGGACACACGTTTCTTAAAAACTATGTTATAGAAAATTGCTTCAATGAGTATATCCCCGGATTGAGTTTACAAGAGGAATTTTTTTATCTTTGATTATACGCCAAAACTGCAAAGGAAAAACATTTCTTGCAATATCTGAAACGAGCAAATCTGTAATTAAAACTTTATTATTCTAACTTAATAGAAAAAAAGTTCATTTTTCTCTTGATTTTGGACTTTTTTTTTTGAATTATTTTTCTCAGCGTTTTAGATCTCATCACAGTGGCGGTTTTACTTTTTTAATAACAATGTGAGTGCCAAATGAGTTTACGCAAGTTAAATAACAAAAATGTTCAAGAAAAATATAATTTTAATAAATGGCAATTCTAAAAAACAGCTTTAAGATAAAAAATACAAAGTTATTTTTAACAAAAACAATTATTATTCAATTAATTAATTAATTTTCAAAGTGACATCGTTGTCAAAAAATTAAATCGCCAATGTAATGAGATTTAAAAAACAGAGAATAAATATATATTATTATATATTATATATCGAGCGCTCAAGATAATTTGTAATCGAATCCAAAAACGTATGTCTGTAAAATGTCAAGTAAAATGACAAGTCGAAAATGGCATCAAAAAGGTGATGATTATAATAACCAAATTTATAATTTACCTTTCAGGTAACGCAGTGCAGTGTTGGCATAAAATTAAAAAAAAATTTTTTCTTCTTGTAAAATTAAATTTACCACTGTTTTTTTTTGCTTTGTTTAAAGGTAAAAAAAGATAAATAGAAAAAACGAAAGAAACTAGTTATTTATTAATAAAATTAAATGTAAATCACAAAAATACAATGTTCTAATAATTAATGTAGTAGTCTTCGGCGTCAATGCATTCCTGCAATCTGCATGGCATGGAATTGACTAAGATTTCACACAAATTTGTTCGCCTTATTTGCCCCCAAACTTTATTTACATTATCTGTCAATTCATGAAGATTACGGGGTRGRACCCCATTATRACTGTTAAAAATATTTTCATGAGATGYTTAATTAATAATTTGTCGCAATATTTATTTAACTTGGTTAATCATTATTAAACAACAATTGCTTTCATGTTCATCATTCTTGCGTAAACTCATTTGGCAAAGTCACATCGTTARTAAAAAAGTAAAACCGCCAATGTGATGGGATTTAAAACGCTGAGAAAAATAATTCACACAAAATAAGTCCAAAATCAAGAGAAAAATGAACTTTTTTTCTATTAAGTTAGAATAATAAAGTTTTAATTACAGATTTGCTCGTTTCAGATATTGCAAGAAATGTTTTTCCTTTGCAGTTTTGGCGTATAATCAAAGATAAAAAAAATTCCTCTTGTAAACTTAATCCTGGGACATATTCATTGAAGCAATTTTCCATAACATAGTTTTCAAGAAACGTGTGTCCTCCAGTTACTAAATAAGGGTTTTACAACATATTATACCTGCTCCTCAACTAGTTAGTTTGAAACACTATTGCAACAAAGCACAGCGTGAGCGCCAATTTAGACTGGTGAATAGTTTTTTCCCCGCAATGATTGCGTTCAAGACTTTTGATTAATTAAGAATTAAATGAGTAAATATTTATTCGCTGATTCCCAAGTCCCTTAAAACGTATCGATCAACCCCTAATGTGGGTCAGCATCCCACACTTCATTTAATCACACTGGCCATATTTTTTCCACCCACATGGGACCATCCATCCACCACCCACCGGACTAATCCGTTCATCCTTCCAATTAACAATCCCTCTCCGATTCGAAAAAATAAATCACTGACAAAACACACGTCTTCACCCTTTTGTAAAAGTGTAAAAAACACTATAGTGTATTATCAGCGCAAGTCCTGGAGGCTTTAAAGGAAAACGTGGGCGTTCCTAGGCCAGTCTCGTGTCGGCTGCTACCTGAATCGTGTGTGTTTCAAGTGCAGGTGGTGAAATTCAATAGATCGCGGTGTAACGGGTGTTTAATTTTTACGATGAGAGTGAGGAGAATGAGTGGCGGGGTTGAGTTTTACGACGGATGGGGAAGTGACACGGGAGCGCCACGTGCTGATCTCTGGATGTAAACAAACCCGTACGTCGGATGGTATTTTTATCCACTCTTAATACAAATGCAGAAAATGTTTGTCTTTTTCGATTTTTGTGGCACATATTGTATATAGGGTGCGCCAGAACTCACGCCCCAGAGAAAAATTTCAAGTGTTATATCTAAAAATTTCGAACTTTGTACCTTGACTCTATTACTATTTATTTCTATTGGAAAAATAAATTGTGGCTTTTATTTGCAAAATTTTTGTATCTTTACTAAATAATTATAAAAAAAAACATATACCAGATCATCAGTATCATTAAATAGACATAAAAAATGTTAAATGTCAAAAAATAAAATGTCAAAATTTTTTGAGAGAATTAAAAAAAAATTTCATGTTCCTATTATCTTATCTTACATTATAATTAATGTATCACATGATCATAAATAACCCGAACGAATCGTATAATATCCTTAGTTGCATTTAATGCACTCGCTCTTGGGACTCGTGCAATTTTCAGATACAGGATGTCCCAGCTAGTTAGTCCATTAGTCTTTTATATCCTAAAATTGACAAAAATTATTTAGGACATTGATAGATATACTCTTTTTCATATTAATGTGCATCAAGTAGGTTGTAGAAGTCTAAATGCATCTTTAATTTAAAGGCTGATGTACACAAAACGTGTCATTAACGTCATTCAGAATAAATTTAATCACATCAATAATGACAAAAATTGTCATGTTTGCTATCCTATGTTAATTGTGTTGATAATTTTAATAATTTTTTGCTACCTATTTAAAAAATAATTTTTAGGTTAGGATTGTTTGAATTTTTGCAAGGGTGCCACCTTAAAATGATCCCTTTCAGCGACTACTTCGATGCACATTAATTTGAAAACGAGTATACTAATCTAGTCTATTGCCTAAAATTATTTTCAACTATACAGCGTTTTTCAAAAATAAGTTACAATACAAACTTGTGTTTTTTTTTAATGAAACACCATATGTTTCTTAGCGTTTTTTATGTAGATTTTTATGACAATCCTTTTAAGCTAAACTTTTATTGGTCGATTTTGCTTAGTTTTAAAAATAAGACGGTTTTTTTGACGAAAATATGCACTATTAAAAAATCTATTATACAAAAACTAAGACATCTAGAAATATTTTTATTTACTAGCGCAAAGAAGAAGGTACAAGCTGTAAGGTTGTAAGATTTTTTTAGTGTGTTGCATTTGCAAAAATAAAAAAAGTAAAGACGTTTGTTAAAAGTTTACTTAAAAAATTTAACTTAAAAAATTTTAATGGTACACTCTATTTATTGTTATTGCATTTAAGAGATTATTAAATTGTTTTTCCAAAATTATTTACTTTTAGGTGTTTATAATCAATGGCTGAAAAGATATTTAACTTTTATCATTAAAAAAATAACTATTGTTTCAGCAGCCAAAAAAAGTGCACAGTTGCACAAGAGATGGAAGAAATATCACTTATTCATTTATGTTAAACTGAATCCATTATTTTTTTTATGTTTACAATAAAATAATTCGAATTTTAGTATACTCATGTCGACTACAATCTTCGGATTGTGGCTACAATTAATATTGAATGTTAAATATTTTTTATTTATCAATTCTAGACATTTAAAAGTTTTAATTTTCAGATAGACAATTTAACGGTCTGTTAGATGCAAAAACAATTAGTAGGGTTTTTCATTTAATTTATTTAACTCTTAACAAGCTTTTTTATTTTTTTATTTTTACAAATACAAAATCCTAAAAAAATGTTACAGCTTACTCGTAATTAAGAAAAAAATTTGTTCTGTCTTAGTTTTTGTGTGACAAATTTTTAAAATGTGCACGTTTTCGTTAAAAAACCGTCTTATTTATAAAACTAAGCAAAATTGACTAAT